GCGGGTACATAACACTGTAAATATATGACTGCAGTCGGCAGCTGGTTAGCTTAGCATAAAGACTAACAAAACTCGCCATCCAGAAATTGCAAAAACTCACAAATTTGCACCTTAATCTTAAAGTATTTATCTTAACCAAGCAGATTTCCTGTTTATCAAGCTAACATGACAGCAGTATTGATCTTCTTATTGAACTCTTGGTAAGAAAACAAAAGCAGCCATTTGCCCAAAATGTTTCTTTAAACACAACTTGTCCTAAAAACCACCACTTCCTTATAATTACATGTATTAGATGGTGTTGAAATGCTCATAATTCCTTGCATTAGTGGTAAACTGATGTAAAACAGTGACTGCATACATCAGTCAGTCTGGTTTGGTGGACGACATGTGAATCTTTTTACTAAACAAGCTCAAACCTTAAAACAAACTTGCAATTTATTACACTTTACCTGCAATTTTAATTTTGTAGTTAGTTTTATATCAATGGTATAATTTACAGTTTAGCTGATTTTTATTTCCGTCTATACTATAATGATATTCTCACCAAAATAAGTGCTGAGATCTGAGAACAGTTGCACTACAGTAACGAAACATGATCATTCAGGGGATTTGTCATTACACCAAAAGTGAAACCAGATTATTTAAACTTTAATTGGAGATTAAACCCGAAGTGGCTGCATCATAACGTTAATAATCAACAGGAAAACCACCTGCATGCAAAGTAGGGAGGGTCAAAGTCAAACCAGGAAGTCGATCTGTAAACTGTAATAGATGCTGAAAACAAACAGTTAAGTTTGCAAATTTAACCAGTCTGACCTGTGAAGGGTCGTTTAAAACGTGTCTGATTTCAGCAGTCCAAACTGGAGATGGAAGCTGGAATAAACCATCATCTCCTCTGTGACTCTGCTGCTGTTGCATAACTCACGTTTCCTCTCCCTCCAGCAGGCGCCTGTAGGTGGCAATCTCCATCTCCAGGTTCTGCTTGATGCGGAGGAGCTGCTCGTAGTCGGTCTTGGTGCGCTGCATGTCCAGCCGGAGCTGCGAGAGGTCGTCCTCCAGCTGGCTCAGGTTGGCCTGCAGCCGCTCCATCTCGCCTGAATACTTCTGGCCCGTCTCGCCCAGGTTGCCTTCCAGAGCTGCTATCTGAGGGGGAAAATGACAACAAAGCCGACCCTCATTATCATAATTAATCATATTATCAGTAACAAAGTAAAGGACCGGCAGCTTTGGACACTGTAAAGTCCTGTGTAACCAGTGTTCTGTAATGTGAGGCTCTAGTTTGTCCGGTTGCTTCAGCTTCCTCCGTTTTCCTCACAAGGTGTCTTCCAGAGGAAATCAAACCTCAAGAATGCGTCCTGATTCTGAAATTTCCTCCCAAACCATTATCAGCAAACACCGGAGACCTGACAAGGCCTTGGCACCAGAAGCAGACGTTGGCTCCTCAGGCCCGTCTCACCTCCAGAACTCGCCCCCTTACTGTTTAGCAACCGAGTCCCGTATGTTCTCGCACGACTTGGCGACGTGAGAAAACATGTTTAGTGTCAACACAGGATTAGCAGAAAGAACAACAACAAGGCTTTTTTTTCCCAGCTGATTGAGATACAGCAGCATGGAAATGGACACAGAATGTTGAACTCCTTTAAGGATTTTCTCTGCTGCTGTTTAACAAATCCCTTCTTTAATACACCATAAGTCTTTGTGGCTTTGAGATAAGTTAAGAACCATCATTTCACAAGTGAGGCTGTGGTATTTGCATTGCTTAAGGTGAATTAGGTTTTGTTTGCACAACTTGTTACTTGCATAATTATTTTCCAACCAGCCAGGCGTCTATCTCCAGAAAGAAGGATTCCAAACTTCATTTTTCAACAGATCAGGATGCAGCAGATCTGCAGTTTCATCTCACTTCTGTACCTCAGGTGTAGTAGCCCACCTGTTTGTGCAGACTCTCCAGCTCCACCTCCAGCGTCTGCAGGAAGCGTTGCCTCTCGGTCAGCTCTCCCTGAGCTCCTCTCAGGGCCTCGTTGCTCTCCTTCACCTCGTTCTGCACCGTCTCCAGCTGGACAGAAAGCAAAGAAGCTTTAATGTTCCCAAGCTTTGACACAAGCTAATGCTAAATATCTCTCTCCTCACCTTCTTTCGGTACCACAGCTCCGCCTGCTCCTTGTTCTTCTTGACGATCCCCTCATACTGGGAGCGCAGGTCGGACAGAATGGTTCCCAGCTCTGGTCCGCTGGCGGAGTCCACCTCCACGTTCACCTCGTCTCTGGCAATGCGAGACTTCATCTGCTCCAGTTCCTGCAGGGGTAGAGGTAGTCCTATTCATACTGTCACAAGTTTATTTCTTTAAAAACAAACCCACAGTTGCATGGTGCAGCACATGTCCCTTCAGCTCAACATGTGTAAACATTCAACATATGGAACCACGAACAGTTTGTGAATCCTACACCGCAGGGCAGCAGCAGCAGCGAGGATGTGCTGCATCTGTATTATTTAGATGTTCTCCATCAATACTTGATGGCACAGAGCTCACCTTACTGCCGGCCTTTCAGCTCACACGCTCGGTGGATCTCTTTCACTCTCTCCTCTCTGTGCTGCTTTTGTCACATGCAGTTTGTTTTAATGTAAAGCCGTCTGCTATTAATGCTCCTCATTTATATATTTATGTTCAAATTTTCCAGCCTTTGTTGGACAATAAATTCAAATTGTTTTGTTGAAGGTGAAAACTGAGAGTAAACAGTGCGATCTCGTTTCCCAGCTAAACCCCGAGAGATGCTGCTTATCTGGTGTCTCTACGTTCACTGTAAAGGGACGACATGGATTCTAGAGATTAGAACAGACAAAGAGACGTTTAAAGTCTATAGTGAGCCAGTGAACGAAAGTAAAGAACTATCTCTGCTCAGCTAAGGTCAAACCAATTACACAGGGTCGAATGAAACAAACTAGTGGATGTAGAATAGGAATGCCTAAGTAACATATACGATAAAAACACACACAAAAATAATGAATAAAGAAAAAAATAACAACAAACATCTGTAAAATGCTGATATTTTTAGTTGATTTACATACAATTAAACTGTAAAATTTTACTTTCACACAGAAAGAAATTACTATTTACAAAAGTACAGACTTTTGAAATAGATGCTGGATTTTTTTTTGCATTTTTTCAGACCTAAAAACTTTTTTTTCTTTTTAATTTTGTAAATTTACAGTCAAATCCTGTTAAAAAACAAACAAACGACTATTTGTGATAATTTCTGGTTGTACATCTGGTTGAACATGTAAAATATTATTTTTTTTTCCCCTAAGATTTTACTAGTTATTGTCTGTAGTTTAAATTTTTTTTTTTTAAAAAACAAACAAAAAAACCCTGGAAAAATCAGTTAAAAAAATGTATTTTTTAAAACCATATTTCAGTTCTTAATATATATATTTTTTCCTTCAAATAATTCTAAAATACAAATCTTGCTGATTTAAAAACATAAAAAAATAGTATAATTAGTAAAAGTAAAAGAATCTAACATTCAGAAAAATGCATATTTTAGGTGAACATTAATGTTACGTTTGCATGATGTATTCAAGATTTCACAGAAGCCAAAATATTTCAATCTCACTGAGTTAAATAAATTTTCCTATCTGCAGGTTTTACTGTAAAGTTGCTGTTTCAAAGCCTGAACTCTCCGACAGCAAATCTACTTAATGCTGCACAGAGATTAAACACTCTGTGTGTCTTTGTGCTGCGTTATTCTGGTGTACTTAAGTGGCATCTAATTGGACCTGCATGTTTCAGCAGGAGGGATATCAGCCCTTCCTTTGGTGTAAGGGGGTAAATCTATCTGTCCTTCAGAGGACGCCTCGGACCAGCTGATTGGCCAGAAAGACCAGGTTTGAGGAACCGGATCTACCCGCTGCTTTTGTGCGTCGTAACCAGAGGACCACCTCTCTCTAAGTTTTCCCTCCTTACACAGACTTTTCTGTCAAATCTGGCTCTAAAAGAAACCGACTGAATCCTCCAAATTAGGTCAGGCCGCCACCAAACAACCTGCTGTTTGTGGGGGCAGGCTGGAGATCAGGAGAGAGGGCCAAAATGTAAACGAGACAACACAAATGTCAAACACTGAGCGAAGGAAAGGCTGTAAGACAGAGCGGTAAAAGAACCGTAGCACAGATGTGAATGCAGGAGGAAAGGAACGGCATAAGAATGTATGCAGACTGAGGTGACAGACGGACGTATTGTACCTCCTCATGGTTTTTCTTCAGGAAGTAAAGTTCTTCCTTCAGACTGTCCAGATCCCCCCTCAGAGAGGCGATGATCTGCTCGTGGTCGGTTTTGGCCTTTTTCAGAGCAACACAGTCTCGTTCCACCGACTGACACATCACCAGCTCGGTCTCCCACCTGGTGGAGTTTGGAGAAGAAAAGCATGATGGACGAATGGGTTATCTAATGCTTCATTAGGAAAAGCCACTGCAACTCTGCCTTTCTGAGTTATTTCTAGCGAGTTACATGTCTAGTCATAGGAGTCTTTTGCATTAACTAGGCTTAACTAGACTCATTTAGAATGGTCTATTTGATATTAGTCCAAGATTCTGTCTGCTATAATGAAGGTCAGATGTGTTTTAGGACATTTTAGGAAGTCAAATTTACTTGCTGCCCTGTCAGCTGAAGTTCAGACATGCTCAGCTAATGGTTAAAATATATGTAAACTTTATTTAAATGGTTTTATCTCTGTAACCTGTTCATTTATGCTGCTGCCTGTCTTGGCCAGGAAGCTCATGTGAAAGAGATGTTTACCCTCAATGAGCCCTTTACATCTCCAGAGTTTGGTCTTAAATTTCATTTGGAGTTTTTGCAGGAGTTAAGGGGATGATTTATATCTGCATCTATCTATCTATCTGTTCATAGTTTACCCCTGTGAAAACATGCTTCATGTTTGCTTATTGCAATTAAAATATCTTATGCAGCTACATATATAAGCTCTAAAGCTAGAAGGAAATTAAACATTTATAAATAAAGTAAATTGAGCTCAGGACTTCTATTTGCATTGTGTTGACTAGTCAAAGTATTCAAAATCTCTGTGCACAAAGGAAGCTTTTAGCAGCTCAGGAAGTTGGAAGTTAATGTTTGCAGAAGTCTAAACCCAAACTGATGTCAAGGTGTTCCAACAACAGGCAGAATTTGCATTACAGAGTAAAACAAAATATATTTAAACCGCACAACAACTAGTAAATAATTGGTAATATTCCGGCACATAAGGCTCCAAAAAATGTAGTCAAATAATTGAAAACAACAGTCTCATAAAATACAGGAATTTTCCATCATTAGAATATATTTTCTAGCTTTATTTTTATTTTTTTAAATAATAAATTTTATCCCTAACTTTATCTCTCATTGAACAAAAACAATAATGAAAAATGACAGAGCCCATTTTTCTGTCAAATATCACTCATTATATCTGAGCTTCAAAATATATTTACAGCATTAAACTTGAATTAAACACTTTCATTCAGTTTTTGTACACAAATGTTTACTGCTGAACACAACTACTGTTGTTTTTCTACTCTTCACACTTGTATTGCTGTATTTGTACTTATATTTTGCTCTTGTTTTTATTGTACGTATTATTAATTAGGCTTTTTCTTTCTCCTGAGTACTTATTTCGTGCCACAGCATGTGAATGTGAGCGAGCATGACTAATAGAGTCCATTGAATCCTTCATGTATTAAATTAAAAGGACATATTTGTGGAATTGTGATAAATTTGTGAATGTATTAAAACAGTAGAGTACTTCCTGGTTATTCACACTTACAGATTTTAATGGTATTTTATATTAGACATGCAAATTAACAGTTTATGTTTGTATTTTGATTATTATGGTTTTTAAAAGTGCGTAAAAATTCTCTAAAATTACCTTTTTCTTACAATGCAATTAGGAACAATGAGGACTTTAAGGTGATAATTTAATATGTGATAATTAAATCTTCATTTAATGCCGTCGTGCAGCCAGACTGATATTACGAGTGTGTAAAGCAGATAAAGTGAAACCACTTCAGCTTTTCATCTCCACAGTCCAAACATGAATCACTCACTTGATTCTGAAGTCATCCGCTGCCAGCTTCGCGTTATCGATCTCCAGCATGAGGCGAGCGTTTTCCAAGGTCCTCTTTCTCACCTGACAAATATTAGCACTGGTTAATCACAATGACGCCTAAATGAATGCATTTCTACGTTTGATGTGAGCGGAATCGTTGCTGTATTTGGTGTACAAACAAAAGCACTGTGCAGCGGGATTACTAAAAAAAGCCTCCATCCTGAATAAGGCGACACATTCCAGCTTGATTAAAGTGTAACTATTCCCGTTGTGAAAAGGCAAAATAATCATTAACGTCGTCTCGGCTCCACTTACAGTTAACTGAAAGATCAAGTGTAGGTTAAGTTCTGCCTCTTGATGAAGCAGCTCAAAGACAAGCTGGCGCACATTTGCATGAAGGTTTTGTCTGTAAAATAATCAAAGCCATCGTAACCTTGACACCTACGAGACTGGCTTTTTTTTTAAGTGTGTGTCTGTGAGGCTTGCAGGCCCCTTCCTGCCCACCTCCTGCTCCACAGCGTGAGCCTGGGCCATCATGGAGTCCAGGTCGTGACCTTTGGGAATGCGGTCGAGCATCAGCTGCTTGATTTTGGCCTCCAGGTCGGCGTTGGAGCGCTCCAGCGTTCGCACCTGGAGGAGACGGGAGAGGAGGAGTTAAGGAGGTTAATGATCAGCTGGCTCACCGACCCGTGGTGTGCGTCAGACCTTGTCCAGGTAGTTGGCCAGGCGGCTGTTGAGGCTCTGCATGGCCTCCTTCTCGTTGGTGCTGTTACCGTGCAGCCCGTTGAGCTGCAGGCTCATCGGCCCGTTCAGGTCCTGGCCGATGGAGGACGAACGGGACAGCGGGATGGCGGCGGCGAAGGACACGGAAGCCCGAGAGCGAGCCCGGCTGGTGTCCATCAGGGAGCGGCTGGAGAAGGAGGGCTGGCGGTTCATGGAGTAACTTCTCACTGAGATGCTGGAGGCCATGATGGGCGGCTGGGAAGGCAGGAGACAGAAATTGGGAGTTAAACGGCGACATGTTTTTGAGAATCTCTGACAGCTATTACAGCTTCAGAACTTTAAAAGCCAGACTGTTTGACCTGCTGCAGCCATTTAATGCTCGTGTTACATGAGATCTGGTCTTGTGCCCTTAAGCAAATGGGCTTTATTCTAGCATTTAAATGGAAATACAAGTAGGGTCTTACACTCAAGACCGCCGGCTGCCCACTGAACATAATGAAAGGAGCCTTTCAGCGAGTGGCTGGTTAGTGGCTTTTCAAACTAACCATCTGCGTCACGGAGATGACTGACTTCACGGTCGGAGCCACTTCAGTCTGTCATTCTGGGCTCTCTGTGCAAATGCAACTCCAACTCAAGTCAGCATAAAATCTAAATGTAAATGACCGCAGCTCAACTGTGGCACGAAGGAGAGGCTCTCAGAGAGGATGAGGACGTGGAGTCTATGGTAATAAGATGCATTTATTCTGGAGGAGGCTTTATGAAAACACAAACACAGGAGAAGATACTGTAGCCTCCAAAGAAACAGAATGCTTTAAAATAATCACAATTTTATTGAATATCTAATAAATCCAGCACCTTTTTCAGTGATGCTACTCTGTATAGGCTGCATCTTTTTTTTTTTAAGCTCATGTGACTTTAACAGGTGTTCTTGGACTTCAAGCAGGACCAAGTTGTTGTTTGGTTTTGTCAGACATAGTGCGGCTTTGTCCGCCCGATGCGTGCGAGTGTGAGTGTGAGTTTTAGCGCATGCTTGCTTTTGTGTGCAAAGTTTCAGTGGCAGATTAGCGGTCAAGGGAACCTCTCTGTGCCTCCGTCACCTGATCCTCGCAACACCGTTCCCACAACACTACAAAGGGCCCAGCAGGAGACAGGCAGTCCTTGTTCAGATGAGAGATAGAGCTTGGGAAAATGATCTAGAAAATATTCAGAGTGAAATTCCAGTGACACAAGGAGACACTTTGTTCGGCAGGAAATGGACTCTGGTTTCATTTTTTTTCGACATCATCTCGCTATCGGCTGCTGACAGCTTTGAATGATTTTTTTTTTTCTTTTTCTTGAGTACAGTTACAGGAGCTTTATCATCCAGTTAGTTTGATTTATATCAGTGCATCACCGCTTTATAATAATCCCAACTATTAAACTATAAAAAGGAAGAAAGCAGAACAGCTGAGGAATGTTTACATCTTTCCTTTTAAGAAGGCTGGTAGCTGAAAAAAATAATAAAATAATTCCTTTTACCTTGATTCTCTTCAGATAGAGTCCAGGTGGGATCCAGAGGAATGCAGGACGGAGGCTGTGTGCTGCTGATGCTGCTGCTGCAGGTGAGCTTATATGCAGGTGTGCAGGAAGTGGGAGGAGCTACCTCTCAGCAGGAGGTGTGTTTGCTTCACCTGAAGGTCTGGACAGGAGGAGGGTGCACAGACCTGTAAAGTAACTAATACACATTTCTCCTGTCTCCCATGATCCTTTGCTGACATGCTATACACAGTTAGAGCCTGCATCTAAGAACCAGCTTTTTGCAGTTTCTGTATGACTTTGCTTGCATGTTTTTCTTTATGTGATGGTTTTAATTTTGTCTGGATGTGTAAAGTACTTTTTTTTTTTTTAAGTGCTTCTGCAGGCTTGATTTAATGCATGTTCAAGTCTTTTTTCAAAGGATTGATAGAATTAATTCAGCTCCTTTGTTCACATTGAAAATCAATGCATATGCAAAGAGTTCAATAGCTTCAACATCAGGTGAGTGCAGGTTGCATACTGCATCATGATTAGCTTCCAAACTAGATGTGATGCCTGTTAGGACCGGGCTCAAGATGGCCGCAACAAAAGGAGAGACACACCAAGTTTCAAAATTAAAGCTTATCTTTATTCCCTTAAATTATATCAAATTAAAAACCAAACCAATATGGGGTTGTGAGAATACATAGAGTCAGTGGTGTGTGTGTGCGTGATGTACGCATGAATTATGTCTGTGCAAGTGTTGTAAATGCAGATGTCCTAAACAAAGTAAACTAACCCATGACCAGACCGATGCAATACCTGCGGAGGGAAGCAGAGTAGAGAGAGATTAGACTGCAGTCAGCCCTTAAGTAACCCAGGAACACACTGGGTGTCACAGGTGCTCCTGAACAGCCACTCACAGAACCAATAGCCGAACTAGAACCACCCACAAGACACAAGATGACCTCAGGGGTCATCACACCCCCCTCCTTAAAAAAGGGGTCCCAACGGGATCACCAAAAGATCCTAAACCAGACAACCTACACACAAAGTTAAAGCAGTTAGCAACCATATTCACTGANGCAAGTGTTGTAAATGCAGATGTCCTAAACAAAGAAAACTAACCCATGACCAGACCGATGCAATACCTGTGGAGGGAAGCAGAATAGAGAGAGATTAGACTGCAGTCAGCCCTTAAGTAACCCAGGAACACACTGGGTGTCACAGGTGCTCCTGATTACCCTAAACAGCCACTCACAGAACCAGTAGCCGAACTAGAACCACCCACAAGACACAAGATGACCTCAGGGGTCATCACAATGCCTTTGATTTAGATTTAAGGTGGACCTAAAACATTTAAAACTCTGATCATACAGCGCTCTGGGAAATGACGATAGAGCAACCACGTAAGGAAAACAGAGTGTTCTGTTAATTTCAAACAGAACACCTTATGAAGCTGATGGGGTGAAAATATTGACATTCTCTCCCTGTTTATACATAGAACATAATTAGGATTTGTCAAGTTGTGTTTCTGGTCCAGTATTTACTCTCCTTTTAGCTATTTTGTTCTTTTTTTTGGAGATAAATATCTGCCTCTTTATCTGCCAAAGGATGTTCACTGACTTTGATGGTACAGCCTGTGAGGTTCATGAGATGAAACCTCAACAACTGGACTGTAAAACTGTAAATCTAGGATGGCTGTGACTCAGGTGGTAGAGCCGGTTGTCCTCCAATCGCAAGGTTGGTGGTTCGATCCCCCAGGCCCTCCACAGTCGAAGTGTCCTTGGGCAAGACACTGAACCCGAAGTTGCTCCCAATGGCAGGCAGCACCTTGCATGGCAGCTCTGTCGCCATTGGTGTATGAATGAATGTGTGAATGGGTGAATGAGAAACACATTGAAAAGCACTTTGGATAAAGGCGTTACATAAATGCAGACCATTTACCATTTAAATCTATTGGACTGAAACAATGAGCTGAAAGATGCTTTGGATGCTGAAGAGCTGAGCTGAACTGCAGGGATGGGTGATGATTCTTACCAGCCATCACTTTAGGAGACCCCTTTCACTCTAAACATTTTCCTTTTAACATATTGGTTCGTGCAGCTTTAAATATTAAAACACCAGTGCTCCTCCACCCTGCTGCCACTATTCAGCTGCCATCTTGCAGCCTCACTGATCACAGCAACACACGTCCTCTCATGTATCTGTGCTATTAGATATCTCATTATGCTCACCGTCCTCCTCCTGACAGCGCCGAGGTGTGCGGCGCTCCACCTGCAGCCCTCTGACCCGTCCCGTCCTGCAAGTCGCTCGTCTGGCTGAAACTTGAGCCTCCTTCTGCCTGTAGGAGATAAAATATTCAACAAGTGGACTCGGAGGGAGAAAACCTGCTGAGCGAAGCTCTTTGAAGCAAAAACACAGCAGAGGCTCAGCTGAGGGGGAAGCAAAAATATCGTTAACGACTGTATTTCACTGGGAATTTTTTCATTGCATTGTGTCATAAAACAAAAAAATGTGGCAGCATTAGTAGATAACACTACTGTCTTCAAAGCATTGGAGCAACAGGTTAAAAACATGTGACAGACTGAATCTCATTTATTTACTGCATAATGCTTAAACCCTCATGTTCCTAAAGCTCAGGAGAGATCTGTGACTAATCCGACCACCATAGTTCTTAACATCTGCGCTCCAACTTTAGCTCCTGTGAACTTTGTCCATGCAAAGTTCTCTACAAACATAGAGGAGCCTGCGATATTAAAAATGTGCGGGTGACGTATGTAATTCCCGCCTATTATCATATTCAAATCCAAGTGAGATGAAAATATTCCTTGTTGTCTCTCAGCATTGCAAATGTGTGGATTTGCATCGGATCCACGGAGGTTCTGCGTTTTATTCCAGCAGGTTGGAAAAAGTGAAAAACTGATGATATAATGGTTAAAAAATGTCTTGTTTTGTCCTGAATCACTGATGCCAAATGCATCCTGTTTCAAAAAATGAATGAATCAACCAGAAAAGTGTCCTACTAAAAGCATAAAAGGCCATTTTTAATACATGGACGTCTCTCATAGTCATCATGCAGAAATGGTGTCATGGATAAAATTATAACATTTGTGTGATGTTGTGATTAAAGTGTTTTTAGCTGCGACATAAAAATTACAATTTCAGCAAACTAAAGATATAACTTTTTAGAAATACTTGCTTTTGGATTGCTGCTCTCCTGTTGCCAGGACTTGAGCAGTAAACTTTTGCATCCTTTAATTCAGTGGTTCTCAAACTTTTTGAGCCACGACCCCCAAGATAACATAAGTTTGTGTTGGTGACCCCCTAATTTGACTTCACTTTGCTGCAGGTCCTTCCCCTTTTCTTTTCCCACACTTTCCTGTCTCTCTCTTCACGATATACGATCTAATAAAGGCACGAAAGGCCAAAAAAAAAACCTTAAAAATAAGTAAATGTAGGCTTTAGTTTATCTATTATTTTTTTACAATAATCTGGTGACCTCCTGAAATTATCTTGGGAACCCCAAGTGGGTCCCGACCCCCAGTTTGAGAACCACTGCTTTAATGAGTGACAATAATCTATTTGGATAGCACTTATTAAAACTATGTCACAAGGTGCTTTACACAAAATATACAATAAACACATCATAAACTGGTCAAAAATTGGTTTAGGAAGCAATGATTTAGGATGTGATACAAAAAAAAGGAAACTAATGGTTTTATATCATAAGTTCATACAGTAACAATATTCTGACCAGGACTGGTAACAGACAACAGTGCAAAGTTAAATAAAAAGAGACAGAGGGGTCCAAAAGGTAATAAATTAAGAAAAAAAGCTTTTAGTTGCGTCTGCAGCAGTATATAAATGCTCTTAGTGCTTTGCAGCGTTTCCCCATCAGACGGCAGTTTATTATTCATCCTCAGTGTTCCAGCTGTGATCTATCTCCACTGTGTGGCGAAGGCATGTAAACACAAGCTCAGTTTATGTGAGACTTGCTCCAGCTCTTTCCAAAAGAGGGCAGCAACAAGCCGTATGAACACAGCGTCTGTAATCATCTCTGTTCATTACTCTGACTGAATGTCTTCATTTGCTTTTTATATGATGAGAGGAAAATGCTATTTTAAATATGTTTGATTCAAAACACACACAAGTGTATTCTTTAAGTCCCTTAACATGTATTATTGCCTTTTAATTTAAAGTACTCAAATTGACTTGAAAGTGGATCCACCATTAATTCAAATTAAAATATTCTACGTGTGTTGTGCATCATTTTACGCACAATCCTCCCAAATTTACATTAAATTCTGGTGTTTTTTTGTATCTTTGGCCACTTTTGGATCACAACTAGCATTTAAAATAAAGTTCTGAGTTGTTTTGGATGCACAGGAGGGCTGAAAACTTCAACCTTAATGATAAACAAGGTGTGCAGACACCCAACATGAGATCAATCATGGTCAAGCTGAACCTCAATCAACCCTTCAACTCTACTTTCACTTTCTCGCTGCCTCGTCCGTCGCTCCTTCGGTGAGCGTCGATCAGACATCGGTTGTTAGATAAATAAACAGGTGATTAGACTGGCAGGATGTCAGGATACTACTCATGACCCCACTTGACCCCTCATGACCCCTGTCACAAGTGATCATGTGACCACACCGGCAAGAACTCGCAGCGCAGCACGGATTGTGATGGCACACAGGTAGATCGTTGCTATAGCAGGCTCAAATGTTTGGTTTATTTTGATGCTGAAAAACTAAAAATGAAATTAAAATTCACACTGAAATCAGCAGGACATGACTTCAGCTCAAAACTAAACCCATTTGATTGATATTTTTTAAAATAAACAGTTAATTTGGGGAGAAATGCTGCACCGTGAGACGATGTACGCAGCCTTAGATTAAATTTAAATGCAATCAAAACACAAAAACTACTGTGAAAAGTTACTGTGAAAAAATCTTAATTGTTCTTTTTGTTTTGTTATCTAGATCAGTTAAAGTCCAAACTCAGGGTATCATGGTCTCAGTAGTGATTTGGCTCCTGGGGTGATTGTTTCCTGTT